GCCCTACAAAAACATTTTCTATGGTGGGTTTATAAACACCAGCATAAATGTCATGGTCAAATTAGTGTCTTTGATAAACTATCAAACAGATTAATTTCTAGACTCAGCATCTGCAGTTACAACATCTTACTGTACTCTAGTTAGAGATCACAGTCAACTCCCCAAATGCTTCTAAATAATGTCCATGATTATACTATGGAGGAGAAGGAGTAAAAACAGAAGTAGAATGGGAGAAAAGATTACTTGTCTAAAATCTCTGAAATAGCAAACTCACATTTATTGCCCCTAGGGTAAGGCTGATGGCTTCAGAGAGTTCTCAATGCACTTTGGAGAACTAATGTTTTTACATTCATCTGATTAAGTATTCTTTAAAAGGATAAATCATATACAGCTTCAAAAAATATTTTTGGCAACTCAAGACTTGATATTTGGTTGAGATCTTACTTCTAAATGCAAAAAGTGTAAATAACTTCCAGGATAGTTAAGAATGAAATTAAAATACAATAAAATAATAGACAAAAATGCAGCATTAAGAACTTAATAAACACTAATAAGCTGGGATGGGGTGGGGAATACTGTACTTCATTGGCCCCGAAATAATCTCAGGTGTGGGAATCTTTTCCTTTTTTCAATTTCAAAAGGATATTTCAATCCTTTCCTTTTTATAATTTTCAATTATAAAAATAAGCAAAATCAACAGGATAACATGCTGACAAACAGAAATCATACAGCCCAAGTTCCAAAGATGTATGACTAAGTCTTCAACAATAACATTATTCAGAACTCAGCAGCAAAACCAAGAAAGAGTCTTGTGTCACCTTACACATTGACAAATCTTTCCTTGACTTCCTCAGATGCATGTTTAACACATGACTAACAGATCTGATTCCCTTGGTAAATCTTAGTTCTGCTCTTTCATCAGGCTAATGAAAAGGCAGAAAGGCAGTTTAATTAAATTGTCCCTTCCCCCACCCCCAATCCAGTATTGAATTGTAAGGTACCAAGCATTTTAAGCATATTGATATTAAGAATTGTTTTATGAGAAGGACAACCCCCTAAATTTTCTTTATTTAAATTAAGGTTATAATATGATGATGGGGGCAGGACTAACTTTCAGCTTTATCATGGGGCATATATTTTGACCTCAATGGGATCAAGAAACTCCTATGGGTACAATTAGAACGTTATGTCACCCCTTAAGCATCACAACAGTGTCTTGGCTCTATTTTTAGCCATAACTCTATTATAAGTCCTGCATTTAAAAACTGCAAGGTATATTTAGAAGATGTTTGATTGGAAATATGTCAAGGTGATATATGATAAATTTACATGCTGACATAAACTCGGTTTGAAAGTTTCTGATATTTTTTTAAAAAGTTATTTATACATTAAATCAGCTTATTGCCAATAAATTTTTAGAAGTTTTTAAAATGTATTTGGATTGCCTAAAACTGCAAAGCAGCAATACATTCAATTTTTTAAAATCTCCTGAATTCACAATTCAGTCTAGATGCATTAGCACTAACATGTTTTGGGTGATTGTTAGCCTACTGTATTTTTTATAAACAAGTAAAGTGTATTGGTGTGGTAGATATTAGTTATTTTGCAGAATTCTAAACTAAAGAGTTGGCTATTAATAAATCAATGGCTAAGCATCTAGGAATATTGAGTATGTTCCTTAAGGAGACTAGATCTACCAAGCATTATTTTTCACCTTCACTGGACACCCCAGAAGAATGTAAAAACGGTACGCTGATAACTCATTATGTTGCAAGTGTAAAATGGGAGAAAGGACACTTACTGAAATGACATAGGCTTCTCCCTCTATTGCCCTATTTCGATTTAACATTTGTAAGTTTGTTAATATGGTGTTGCAAGATCAATAAGGTTTAAAGATGTGAATGTATTTTTCAGTTACACACCAAAAACTTTTATTCCTATATGAAGAATCATGAGTGGGGATGGGAGTGGAGAGGGGGTGGAAAAAAAGGCTGTTCTTTAATGTTGGAAAGACAGTGTGTTCCCAGTTTTAAATTCTTGGATTCCCTTCCTGCTTATTAACTAATTGGCAATTGCTGCAATGGAAAGACTAATCAATATTGTTCTATGTGTCAAGGTCTAATGGTGTGTTTAAAAATTAGACTGATTGCTTATACATACGACAATGTGTGTGTGATGATATTATTTCCTCTTTTTTTGTTTTATTTCCTTTTTCTTCCCTTTTTTCTATACTAAAGCAATTAAATAAATACATAATCCTGCTGAACCAGATTATTTTTTTTTAAAAAAAGGAAAAGTGAATGTCGCGTTACTGAATAGCATATCCTCAAGTGCTTGATTATTCGCCTATCCAGAAGTGGCTATCAGGTTGTTATTGAGGAATATTGGACAGACCAATATCCTGCAGCTTGTGGGAATTGGAGTACAGCAACTTTTGGAAGACCAGATTTCCCCAGGCTATTACTGAATAGGATGACACTCCAAAGATGCAAACCCATTCAGGGTTTATTTTTTATTTGCGGTACTTGCAAACTCTCATTGATGACATCACAGATCTCAAGTCTGAGTGTCCACAGAGGTTGACAGAAATGGCCTGTGAAAATTCTGTCAAATTGGTGTGAACCAAAATTGACCGAAGAGTTTCTCCAAACTGATCAAGGGAAGAGAAAAATTCTCCAACAATTTGCAGGAAATTGTAGGAAAATGTTATACTTTTAGTGCTGATGGTAGAACTGCGACTGAAAAAGCTCCACAGGAGAAATTCCTTACTGATGTCTTTCAGTACTGAAAGACAGATGAGGCTGCAGACCTCTGGAGGGATAATTTTGCAATTAAAAACCGGGGTCTTCATGCAAACCCTTCATGAAGCCCTCTAAATAACAAGAGCATCACACTGCGCCCATGAACATTTATCTGAACTACCCTTCTCCTCTGACAGACAGTCTGAAAGCAAACGATTCTTAAATGAGCGCTGTTAGTAAGCAAAAAAGCAAGACAATTTCTCCGCCGGGCACTAGGCGAGGAAGCCACCGGTCTCCGAGCAAAGACCCACAGCCCAATCCCATGATCTGGCACAGGAAGGCACCAGGAAGGATGGTTTTCTAGTTCTTTCCAGAGCAAAGCACCACGAGATCGTTTGTCTCCAGCCAAGGCCGAGACGGGCAGCCGGAGAGTCCAAAGCTTCGGGCTTCCCCCGCGACATCCCTCCTCCGCGTAGGGAAGCCTGCAAGATGCTCCGAGGCCGCTCCCGGCTCCGGAGACGGATACCGTCGCGGCCGGAGAGGAGAGGAGCGGAGCGGCCCGCTGCCTTACAGACGGGGCGGCGGGGACGAGCCCTTCGCTCAAGCCCCCCGCCCTTCCCAGCTGAGGAACTGAAACTTCCTTCTCGCCCTCGTTCTCCTCCCTCCGCCCCCTCCCCGGTGCTGGTGTCGCTGTTGCTGGAGGGAAGTGAAAATGAAATCGGCTTTTCTGAGAAATGATGAAAGCGGCGGAGCCCGCCAATGAGCAGCTGCGCCCAACTTCCGCACCTCTTCCATTCCAGCCCCCTCCCTCCTGCACAAACAGGCCTCGGAGAGGTGGAGGAGCGAGAGGGGAGGAAGGGAAGGGAAGGGAAGGGAAGGGAGGAGGAGGAATTTCCAAGATTGGACTCCTCGCTGCTCCTCGCCTTGTTTTGCTTTCGATCTGGCGTCAGGACTAATCCCCGCCAAATACAGAGGAGGAATAACTTTTAGTTTTGCTCCCGCGATTTATTCCGCCGCCGGTTTTCCTTTCCATTTTGCGTCTCTTGGCAACCGTGACAACCTTGAGGAATTACATAAATACCGCGAAATACATTATTGGTAAGGTAAAGCAAAAGCAATCCTTATTTTTTTTAAAGCCAAAACCCAAGATCCAATAACCGTACACGTTTCTTTCATCTTATTTTGCATTTGCGCATCTGCTGGACACGTTCTAACCCAAATTCAAAGGCCGGGGCCGTGGCGGGTCATATGATTTTAGGCGCAGCTTCTGGCAAGAGAAAGCAGGGCTTTTAATTTCACTTTTGGATTTGCAGGGAAGAGATCGACGGGAAGGACATGTTTCTCTTTCAGGCTCGGCAGTCGAGGACGGACTTTGGGTGGGGGCGGCAGGCGCGGCGGCGGCGAAACATGTCAGCGGCAGAAACAAAAGCCGAGAGCCGCTCTGCCTCCCCGCTCAGCGCCGGCGGGGCGCGGAGAAGCGGGCTTTCGCGGCGCGCAAAAACTCTCGGAATGTCACAGCCGAGACGGGTCTCGCCGGGCGGGGGATCCCCCAGAGCAACTTTCCTTGAACCCAGCGCAGACGAGCTCATGGAGTTGCGGAGCGGGCGCTGCTTCGCGATCCCGGGATCCGCTGGCCAGGCGGATAGTCCCCCTCGTAGTCGGGAACCGAGGTGAGCGCGCCGCTTTGCCTTCCGCTCTCGTGCGAGGGAAACGCGACCCGGGTCGGGGGAGACATCGGCCTTCGCGGTCCCCACCCTTCCAGGACTTTGGACCGGCTCC